TGGAATCAGCTTTCAATGCTATATTAGGAAGAGCCACCCTGTGCGAGCTGAAGGCTGTTATCTCACAGCCCCATCTCTGTATGAAATTCCCAACTCCTCAAGGGGTAGGAGTGCTGAAAGGGAATCAGAGGATGGCTAGAGCCTGTTACCAAGACACGTTCAAGAAGGTCGAGCTCGCCGCAGTTTCGGCGAGCACAGAAGCTCACAAGCCAACCCAGCTCGGTCAACAAACAATGAGTATATCAGACATGAGCATCGACCTGAGAGCATTGAGCAGAAGGCAGAGCCAGTAGAGCCAGTGGAAACGGTGCCTTTAAACCTGGATGTGCCGGAGAGAACGGTGAAGATCGGCACTAAACTCACAGAAGAAGAGCGGGCAGGGCTTCTAGAATTCCTAAGGACTAATCAGGACGTATTCGCGTGGACTACGGATGAAATGCCTAGCATCCCGGCAGAATTGACAGTCCACAAGCTCAGCACAGACCCCACCAGAAGGCCAGTGGTGCAAAAGCGTTGCCTTTTTGGCCCCGAGAAGCAAGCTGCCATTGACGAGGAGATATAAAAGCTGCTACAGGCAGGCTTCATCAGAAGAGTGGAGTACTCCGAATGGGTGTCCAACCCCGTGCTCGTCAAAAAACCAAATGGCAAGTGGAGGATGTGTATTGACTTCACTAACCTCAATGATGCATGCCCGAAAGACCCTCACCCATTGCCAAATGTCGAGAAGTTAGTGGAGCGGGCAGCAGGACACGAACGGATGAGCTTCCTTGATTCCAGTTCGGGTTATCATCAGGTCCAGCGGTTGCTGGACGACCAGGAGAAAACAGCTTTTTACGCTGGTGATGCAATCTACTGCTATGTCATGATGCCATTTGGCCTCAAAAATGCTGGAGCAACATACCAGAAGCTGGTGCAAATCATCTTTAAGCTCCAGATCGGCAGAAACATAGAAGTATATGTGGATGACATGATAGTCACCAGCGTGCGAGCTGAAGATCACATTGACGACCTGGACGAAACATTTCAAAACTTACGGCGGGCTCAAATGAAATTGAATCCCTTGAAATGCACGTTTGCTGTAGAATCAGGGAAATTCCTAGGGTACGTGGTATCCAAGAAAGGAATCGAAGTAAACCCAGAGAAGGTTGAGGCCGTTCAGCAGATGGAACCGCCAAAGACTGTCAAAGACGTGCAGCGTTTGACGGGCCGTGTTGCTGTGCTGCACAGGTTTATAGCCAGGTCGGCAGAAAGATGCCTCCCGTTTTTCAAGGCCCTGCGAGAGCCCAAGAATTTTCAATGGACCGAGGCGTGTCAGCAGGCCTTTGACGAGCTCAAACTATACTTGGCGTCGGCGCCCCTGCTATCCAAGCCTGTGGACGGGGAAAGCTTGTATCTGTATTTAGGGGTTACAGCAGAGGCGATCAGCTCGGTCTTGCTCAGGGAAGAGAATAAGAATCAGAAACCAATCTGTTATGTCAGCAAAGTCTTACAAGGCGCCGAGCAGAATTACCCAGTAGCGGAAAAGGCCGCTTTTGCCTTGGTTTACACAGCTCGAAAGTTGAGAGCTTACTTCCAATCACATCAGATTGTTGTCTATACCGATCTACCTTTGAGAAAAATATTGCAGAAACCTGAACTCTCAGGTCGGCTTATTGGGTGGAGCGTCAAGCTGAGTGAATATGACCTGAAGTTTCAGCCGCGCACAACCATAAAAGGCCAAGCCATTGCAGACTTTTTGGTAGAATGCATCTCGGCGACGGAGAAAGACAAGGCACTTGATTACCCAGCCTGGGTTCTATATGTTGATGGAGCTGCTAACGTTGAAGGATCAGGTGCTGGGGCTGTGCTGATAGGCCCAAATGGCTTTAAATCTGAACATGCATTGCGGTTTAAGTTCCAGACCACTAATAATGCTGCTGAGTATGAAGCCCTCATCTATGGTTTGAAGCTGGCGTCCGAGCTGAAGGTACAGAGCATACAAATTTTCAGTGACTCTCAGCTCGTGGTGGGCCAGGTAAATGGCAGCTGTGAGGTCAGGGATCCCCAGCTCGGCCGTTACACCTCTGTGGTCAACAGTTTAAAGTTAAGATTTGCTTCATTTCAGATCGACAAAATACCAAGAGCTGACAACCACCGAGCTGACGAACTGTCAAAGTTAGCCTCCTCGCGGGACTTTAACCCTCAGAGGTCAACCATCGTCGAAGTGCTGGACGCCCCGAGCTACACTGATTTCACGGTCGAGTGTCAGCTACTAAGCACAGATCCCACCACGCCGAGCTGGACTACCCCACTTATAAATTATCTACAAAGTGGCGAGTTACCTGCGGATCTGTCCGCTGCGAAGTTGGTTAAACGAAAGGCAGCACATTTCACTTTGTTGGATAACAAGCTCTACAAACGAGCAGCCTCAATGCCCTTATTACGCTGCCTTACTCCTTACGAAGCTGAATACGTTGTAAGAGAAGTTCACGAAGGAGTATGTGGCATGCACATCGGTGGCAGAACTCTAGCTCGGAAGCTCCTGAGGCATGGTTATTATTGGCCCACTATGGTCGAGGACGCACAGAACTATGTCAAAAGGTGCCTGACCTGCCAGTTCAATGCTGACGATATTCACATGCCAGGTACCCGAGCTCGTCCTATAGTTTATGCTAACTTAGTGACTTATCTATGAACTGAGCATGAGTACTTTCCCTGTAAACAGGGGAAATGCTATCATCCCTTGCGTCTCCCTGGCCTTTTGCTCAATGGGGTGTCAACCTGCTCGGCCCTTTCATCAAAGGCAAAGGAGGCTGCACTTTCCTGGTCGTTGCAGTGGATTACTTCACTAAGTGGATAGAAGCTAAATCATTATCCACGACAACAGAAAGGAAAATTGAAGAATTCTTGTTCAATTCCATATTGTGCAGGTATTCTTTGGTGACTTAGGTCATAAATAAATTGGATGCAAACGTGATATGTAGCTTAGCTCGCTCATCTGTGTGTAGGTTCGGCATACCTAGGAGGATTATCGCCGACAATGGGCCACAGTTCCGAGCAGCAGCACTGAAATCATTTTGTAACGACTATGGCGTTGAGCTCGTCTTGACATCTGTGTACACTCCACAGTCCAATGGGCAAGCCGAGTCCGCCAATAAAATCGTCTTGCGAGGCCTCAAGACACGAGTGCTGGCTGCACATTCTAATTGGGTTGATGAGCTCGATAAAGTGCTTTGGTCTTGTCGCACAACACCCAGCTCGGCGACAGGCGAAACCCCTTTCAGCTTGGCCTATGGAGCTGAAGCCGTCATCCCAGTCGAGGTTGGATTGCCATCCGACAGATCAGATCGCCACGACGATCAGAATAATGAACAACTCTTAAGAGAGAACTTAGACTTTGTGGAAGAAGTCAGGGAGATGTCTCGAATAAGGAACATGGCACATCAAAGTCGCGTTGCAAAATTTTACAATAAAAGGGTTCAAGCTCACCAGTTTCAAGTTGGCGATCTAGTTCTACGCAAGGCTGGGTTAACTAACACTCATTCGCACATGGGTAAGCTCGCTCCTAATTGGGAAGGCCCCTATATGGTGGTTCGGGTTAAGCGACCTGGCTCCTACGTGTTAGCAGATATACACGGACATCAGTTACCTTACCTTTGGAATGTACAGAATCTTAGGAAGTTTTACAGTTAATGTATGTTATGTCATTTCGCTTAAGGTGCTATCCAACAGTTGTAAACAAAGATATACAGAAAATGTAATAGAGTTAAAAGGAAATCCATCTTTGTATTTCATCAATGATATTAAATTAAAAGTACATACGATCAGAATCTGGTTGATCAAATACAAAAAATGCCATAGCAAAAATACAAAAAGTGAAATAAAAAGTCCTAAGCCTAGTCATCCGTCAGATCGACGGGCATGGATGCATCAGCAACAACCGTAGGAGAGCGAGATGAAGGAGATCGGGCAGCGGGCTCGGAGGCTGGTGCGTTGGCAGGCGAGCTGACTGGCACCACAACGGGCTGAGAGTTGGGTGGGGTGCTTGAAGGTTCCTGCTCAGCCACAGGAGCACCCTCCACCCAGGCGTCAAAGGAGGGCAGTCTTGCCGGATCCTCCCCGTTCTCTAGCACGGACGGTGGCCAGACGGGCAGGCCCTCCTCGTTCAAGTCCCACCTCAGCCTCACACTTGTGTCAACGAGGGGAGCAAGGCTCTTACCTTGCTCGTCAAGCTCCTCCTCGTCGAAGAAGACCAGCTCGCGGATTGGAAAATCTGGGCGGTGGTGCAGCACCTTCCCACGGATCTCATTGTAGATCTCCGTGGTTACGTTCGCAGACGCCACCGCCACTGCGTCTTGAAAAACGGCCGAGCCCGCCAGCCATTTCGCGCCTTGGGCGCGCGCCATCGCGACGGAGCGCCCATGAGTGGCCTTCAACTCATTCAATGCCTCCTCAGCTGCGTTCAGGTTCCGAGCAGCTTCAGCGACCTGATTCTTGAAGGAGCTTAGCTCATTTTGAGCACGGTCCCGGTCGGCCTCAGCCTTCCTAGCCCACTCCTCAACCCGGGCGGCTTCCTCCTTAGCTGCCTGGATCCCACTTTCCCGTTCAGCACGGGCGCGCTCCAGCTCCTCCTTGAGATCGTTGTTTCTGTTGGCGAGCTCATCTGCCCGGCTCTCCGCAGCCGCAGCTTGGTTCGCCATCTCAGAGCCTTGCAGACGATTCACATCGTCTACAAGGCTAGCTTTCTCCGCGGCCAGCTGTTTGCACTTCGAACCGAGCTCGGTGTTCTCTGTACGAGCCGCCTGCTCGCTCTCGTACAGTGCTACCGCGTAGCTGAACGCCTGCCAAACAATTGTCACTGTTAGTCGCAAAAAAAAAAAGAAAAAAAAAAAAAGAGAAGAAGCAAAATGTTTAATCAAGTACGAGCAGATACTTACATCCATCAATTTTACCATGGCCACCTGCCCGCCATGCTGCTGCACAAAAGCCTTCGCCCGCTTATTATCCATAGGTGGCACGAAGCTGTGCATGGCTTGCACCATGGCGGGCTGGCACTCCGCCCTTATGTAGCTGAAGCCCTCAGGATAAGCAATCCTGGGGCCCCACACGGAGGCTGTAGAAGAAGCAGGCTCTGCCGTTGCCCGCGAGGTAGGGGAGTGCACGACCACAGGACGAGTCACCTCGGCGGGCTGAGTCCCCCTGCTCGTTCTGCGTCGTGTGAGGGGGACGTCATCTTCACTCTCCGTTTCCTCGCGCGCGCGCCTGCGCTCACTTGGAGCTGAAGCCTCAGCTCGATGCTCTGCTCGTGGCCTTGAAGCCGAGCTAGATCCCCGGTGCGACGAGCGGCGTGATTGAGGCGCTGGGGGTGGCCGCTCGTCAAATCGTGTTTGCCGGGGCTGCGCGCTGCTCGCCCCACGGCCTCGGGAGCTCTGGGCACGTTGGCGTTGACGTTCCAGTATGCTGCTCATTTCACCTGCACAAACAAATGCATAAGCCTCAGCTCGGCTAGAATCTAGGTTACATGATGAAAATATACCTTCGCTGAACAGGTTTGTCACATCGACAAACCCGAACATGGCGAGCTGCTCCGAGGTAACCAGGGCTTCTAAATCTATGAAACCCTCCCCCTGCGCATACTGAAGCAGTTGGTTCTTCAGATCGACATCCCGGGGCAGCAGCTGGGGGTAGTTGATGTGGGCGTTTGGTGTGCGCCACTCAGACAGCCGGGCAGCGAGGTCGTTGCTTATCCCTTCTGCTCGCGTGTCGCGAACAAAAATAAACTGTCTCTTCCACCTCGCCACCTTGTTCCTCACATTTTTGAAGAGTTGGCTCTTATCCCTCCCAGAGAGGTAATACCACCTCACTCCTTGTGAGTTCGGACACAGCCGGCACTGGAATAGCGATTTGAACACTATCGCTTTGGCTGGTACCTCTAGTCGTGCACACAACAGCATAAAGCCAATAATGAACCTTATGCTGTTGGGCGTTAGCTGCGTCAACGCCAGCTCATATTCCGCGAGCAGATCGAATATCAAGCCGGGCAGAGGAAACCGCAGGCCGGCGTCGAAGTGGTCCGCATACACTGGTATCCAGCCCGTCGGTGACACTGTGCATGCCCTTTCGTTCTGCTCGCCCGTCCGCAGCAGTATGGTCTTGGGGATGTGGTACGCCCTCACCATCTCCTCCAGCCTTTTATACCCACTTATGGAGGGCGCACAATCTGCTACTTCGTGGTGAAGTGCAGCCTTGAACTTGAATCCGGCGGGCAGGTCCTTCGGCGCCTTTCGCAAATTGCTCAACCTGCTCGGGATGGCTCTGCTCTCCCATTCATCCATTACAGGCCGATTTGAGACAGGACTCGCAACATCCCCTACCCCCTCCTCGCGGCTTGGCGTCTGTTTAGTAGACGAGCTGCTGGACGATGCACTAGGGTGGTCGCCACCATTGTCGCTGGCACTGGAACTGGCGCTGCTCTCAGACGCCACTGTTTCCGGCACATCCTGCAACTCTGGCGGCACTATCATAGTGATAGGCTCCACTAACAATACCCCTTCCTCTTCCCCCTCTCTGCCCTGGTTACCTCGTTGCTCTGTGAGTTCTCT